CCAAAAACCCCAGTATACCCCCATCCCACACCCTCCCCCTACCTGTGGGGCAGATGATTTCCAAATCACTCTCTCTATACTTTGATCACATTCAACATTTCGACACCACACCCACCTTTATTATTTGGGATTTTACCCCAACACTCAGATCTGCCGCAAAGGCAATAGTAGACAATTTGTTTTCCATTGCTGGTCATGAATAATATATGATGTTGCACGGTTGCAGTAGTGGCTGCGCAATTTTGAAATTCCAAAATTTTAACAATTAATCTGGAGAGATTTCCTGCCAAAACCTGCTAGGTTCCGAGATCTGTTCCTGAGTCTCTGGGATCATGGCCATTAAGCTGCTTCATCAGGAGCCAGAGAGGCCGTTTGTGGGCAGCAACTCACGGTCTCATTGGGGTGGGGAGGAAAGGGCCGGCTCCACCCCCGTTCCATGAGGCCCTGCGTGTCTCGTCACTGCGGGCCCAAACCTGACTATCCAATGGGCTCTGGTGGAAGGCGGCCACTGAGCTGCCAGGGGGAGCAGGCCAAGGCACAAAACCTATTCCCACCTGGGGTGGCCCAGAGCTGGTAACCTACTGCGAGGCCAACGTGCATTTCTGAAATCTGGCTTCTTTTCATTGTGGCTTTACTCTTCAGGATTAGTTGAGGAGATAACTAAGTTTTCTACATACCATAGAATGCTATTATGTTCTTTTTTCTTTGCCTATTTGGGTGAAGTGAACATTTCCGTGTGTCTTGAATGCCTGTGCAGGTTGGTCTGTGGTCAAATAATAGGGTTATAGCTGTAGTTTGCATAATATTAAATTGAATTGGTACCTTCTGTTTGGCTTACATGTTTAACTTTTAGTTATTAATAATGTAGTAGAAATAAGTATTAATTTCTTAAAGGTATTTGCCTTTAAAAATTATTACTCTATTTTAGAGTAATCAATAATAATAATTAACCTTTTATTTAAAAATTATTAGTTTATATATCATATTAAGATATAGATCAGTGGTTTTCTCAAAAGCATTAAATGCATGCTTTTTAAAAATGAAAAACTTTTAAACTTGAGTAATCAAAGTATAATTCCTTTTTTTCATCCTTATTATCTATAGTCAGAATTTATATGTTTTTTATGTTTGTATTTTTTTCATTACAGGGGCAGAAAGCGTTTTGTAAGTGAAGGAGATGGAGGTCGTCTTAAACCAGAGAGCTACTGAATATGTTAACTCTTGCAGTCTTAGATGTTATAAAACTATATATGTCTGAATTGTAAGAGTTGTTAACACAGGTGTTTTTTTTTTGTTTTTTTTTTTAAGCACTTGTTTTGGGTACAAAATTTTATAAACACATTTAAGGGGAATTTTTAAAGCAAAAAGAAATTTTTTTTTTTGAGGGTGTAAAGAACGAACACAAAAGTAACCACTTCCTAAGTGGAATATTCTCATAAGCTACCTTTTGTAAGTGCCATGTTTCTGATGTAATCATTCCAAGTTTTGCATTGATGTGTCTTGACTGCCACTCCTTTCTTTCAAGGACAGTGTTTTTGTAGTAAAATCACTGGTTTATACAAAGCTTTATTTAGGGGGTAAAGTTAAGCTGCTAAAACCCCATGTTGGCTGCTGCTGTTGAAATACTGTGCTTTGGGAGTAAAAGTTTCTTTGTCTTAAAGAATTTTAAGAAAATGAGTTAGTCATGAGACTTATTCATCTTTCCAGGGAACATAATGATTGGTCTTAAAGACTAAACAGTTAAGTAAATGGTGGCTGGAACATCTATTTTTCTACAAAACTGGAAAAATGAACCCGGTTCTAGAAGAATGTATGACAAAATAAAACATGTGAAGCAGTGTTCTTTATTGTGTGTACATTTATTTTAGGTCATTGTTAGTTTTTATTTTTTGCCCTTGAAGACAGCTGGGTGTGGCCCAAAATGTAAAAAAAATTTTTAAAATTTTTATTTCATATAGCAGTTTTTAAATGCTATGTTTTGAATTTATTTACATATGTTAAAGCCATATACCAATTAGTCATCACAAATTGACTTCTATTGGTTTATTTTCTGATGATTCCACTTGCCAGTCAAGTTTTGTTGGAGCAAGCAATATGAAGTAAATTTGTTAGTGCCTGTTAAGGCTGGGGTGTGGAGGGAAAATGGGGGCTTTAGTGGAGGGAAGGTCACACTGCCAGACAGTATACATTAAATCACATAAAGGAGAATTTTTTTTTTTGCGTTTTTTTGGGTCACACCTGGCGATGCACAGGGGTACTACTCCTGGCTCTGCACCTAGGAGTTACTCCTGGTGGTGCTCAGGGGACCATATGGGATGCTGGGAATAGAACCTGGGTCGTCCGCGTGCAAGGCAAACGCCCTACACGCTGTGCTATCTCTCCAGCCCCAAGGAGCATTTTTAAATCATGGGAATTTAGGTTTTGCTTCTTGCAAACTTTTAAATCAATAGTAAATTTACAATATTAGGAAAATACATGCACTTTTGATGTTAACTGAAGCCTAAATTTTGAAGATACACATAAAATTGTTACCATATGTAGCACTGTCCTCCCATTGTTCCCAAAATATAGCACTGTTCTCCCATTGTTCATCGATTTGCTCAATTGGGCCCAGTAACATCTCCATTGTGAGACTTCTTGTTACTGTGTTTGGCATATCAAATAACTCTCGGGTAGCTTGCCAGGCTTTGCCGTGCGGGCGAGATACTCTTGGTACCTTGCTGGGCTCTCCAAGAGGGGCGGAGGAATTGAACCCAGTTCGGCCGGGTTGGCCTCATGCAAGGCAAACACCCTACCTCTGTGCTATCACTCCAGCCCTGTTACAAAATAATGCTGCAAAAATTATTTTCTAGAAGCTTAAAGGTTTTTATTCATCTACTGTGTCATAAAATAGTAGGCATTACTAACAGTCATCTAAAGAATGAGCACATTTCTAATCTCTTGAAAAGCCCTAAATACTCAGCAGGACCTCAAGATATTTGCCAATTTAAATTGTCTATCAGTTAAAACAAATCAGCCAAGAATTATATTTAAAATTATATTCTTAGGAATATAGCTATTATTGAGATAGTCTATTAATTTTTTAATTTGGGGGCCACACATGGTGTTTCTCAGGACTTAACTCCTAGCTCTGCACTCAGGGATTACTCCTGGCAGGAGGGCCAGGGATTGAACCTGAGTTGGCATGTAAGGCAAGCAGCCCTATCCACAGTACTATCATTCTTGCCCACTTAGTCTTTTAAAACTAAGTTCTAAATGTTCATATATACTCCTCTATCACTTTCACCTTCAGGGTTTTGTGTTTGAGACCTGAATGATAAAGATCAACATGTAATACTTTAAGTCCTTAAATATAATGAAAAGGTCAGAGGACTCCTGGATAGTTTTTTTTTTTCTTCATTTTGTTTTGTTTTGGCCACACTTGGTTATGTTCAGGACTCACTGATACGGGACCATTCCTGGCGGTGCATAGGAACCACAAGTGGTGATGGCTGTTGAACCCACGTTGGCCCATGCAAGTCAAGGCAAGCACCCTACCTATAGCTATAGACACAGATGGTAGTTTCTAAAACCCAAATAAATAGGTGTAAAAGAATAAAACATTAGAACTAACAAAGTGTTTTGAAGAGTATATATATATATATATATATATATATATATATATATAGCACTGTAACACTGTCCTGTTGTTCATTGATTTGCTTGAGCGGGCTCCAGTAACCTCTCCATTGTGAGACTTGTTACTGTTTTTGGCATATCAGATACTCCACCGGGAGCTTGCCAGGCTCTGCTGTGCAGGCGGGATACTCTCAGTAGCTTGCCAGGCTCTCCAAGAGGGATGGAAGAATTGAACCGAGGTCAGCTGCGTGCAAGGCAAACAACCTACCTGCTGTGCTATTGCAGCAGCCCATATGTAATGCCAGCCTCAAAAAAAGTGTGCATATATAACATCCAGGAAACTTGGATTTTGCTGATTTATCATTTTCATATATCAAGAAAATAGTTTTGGGGTTGTGGATGTCAGGTTAGTGGGAGAGTATGTTCATCATATATATTAGGTTTTGGTTTGATTCCTGTCTCTTAAATGAGGCAAAAAAATGTCCATCATGAACACTTTATTTTGTATATCAAAAATTCAGTATTTTCAAAAAATTTGTGTGTGGAACACACCTAGCTATACTCAGGGCTTACTCCTGGCTCTGCTCCAAATTCCTTGGGGACCATATGGGATGTCAGAGATCAAACCTTGGTCAACTATGTCCAAGGCAAGTGCCCTACGTGCTGTACTCCAGCCCCAAATTCAGTAGTTTTACAAATATACTGCATTACAAAATGTAAATTTCAGGTATATAACTTGTCTGTACTACATTTAGCACCATGAGGGGCTGGAGAGACCTCGAAGGTTTAGTGGATGCTTTACAGGCTGGATTCCTGTGTTAGATTTGGAGCATCACAGAGAACATACCCCTGAGCACCATTTGCTGTGACCTCCTGAGCCCCTCAAAAAAGTCATTAAAAATTAATTTCTAGGGCCCCTGACCTAGAACAGAGGGGAGGGTGCTTGCCTTGCATGCAGATGACCTGGATTCAATCCCCATCATTCCATCTAGTCCCCTGAGCCCCCACTAGGAGGGATTCCTGAGCACAGTTGGGTGTGGCCCAACCCACCTCCATCCCTGCAAAAAGTGTAATTTCTGTTTTTTTTTACCATACAGTTGACCTCTTCTGCTAACTCATATCTGTCGTCATATAGATCAGTGTTTCCCAAAGTGGGCAGCATAGTTGGAGGAAGCCTTGTTAAGTTAATTTCCAAAAGGGTACTGAGTGAATGTTTTTTTTCTCCTGAAAAGGACATACTTGGGAAACTCTGATAAGTCTCGTCAGATTCAGTCAGGTGAGCCCAAGAACCATCTCTATGAAACTAATAGAGGAGTGGCAATCATTTTTAAAAAGTTAAAAAATGAAACGGATTAAAGTTTTAAAATTTTTGTGTTCAGACTTACCATTTTTACTTGTCTGGTATTTTTGTATTATATGAATACTATCAACTTTATTAACATGTTCAGTACACAGATTAAAATAAAGATTGTTTTAAACTACAGTAAGTAAGATAGGGTGTTTTGTAGAAGTGCTGTCATCATCATTCAATGGGTTGTTTGTTGTTCCTTTTCTGCCATTTCTTGTTGACGAATTGTATTCTGTGCTATTTGCTGCATTTTCTCCAATTTTTCCAGAGTCAGAGATTTTAAGGGCAAGAGTTTGGGTTTACATAGCACCATCGTGGTTACATCTTCCACAGACAACTGCCCTAAGTTTAAGAAAAAGAATTTGAATTAGATGATACAAATTGCTAGTTGGATTTGCTATTAGAATGAAGTTCTAAAATTGTTAGTGAAAATCACTTGTTCCTATCTGTTACCTGGCAACATTTCTTCAATATAAAGATATATAGAAGCAATGTTTACTATAGGGAGAGGGTCTATGAAACAGCTTTGTCAGATGTTCAATCTGAAAAAAGTCTTACAACATACACAGTGCATAAAATACTTATGAATCATGCTCTCAATGTAAGTATTTAGGAGCTCCAATGGCACATTCATTTAGCACACAGAACTTAGCAGTATGGGCAGAATAAGTATTCAAAGTATTGGATGTATTAACTTAAACTTTTATTTTAAAAAAACCTGCTTGATTTATTTTTCTCATATTTCACAATGGTAAAAAAATAGTGGTCTTAGTTATAAGCTGGGTTGGAGCGATAGCACAGTGGGTAGGGCATTTGCTTTGCACTTGGCCGACCTGGCCGACCCAGGTTCGATTCCTTCGCCCCTCCCAGAGAGCCCAGCAAGCTACTGAGAGTATCTCGCCCACAGGGCAAAGCCTGGCAAGCTACCTGTGAGGTATTCAATATGCCAAACACAGTAACAATATGTCACAATGGAGACGTTACTGGGCCCGCTTGAGCATATTGATGAACAACGGGAGAACAGTGACAGTGACAGTAATAAGCAAAGTAGTTTTCACATTTCTAGCTATTGAGACACTTTAGTGTAGCTATTGCTCTGTAGGTCTCTATGTGTTCTATAATCTAAGTATTTGTGATTTAGATACCTTGTTTTGGAAGAACTTCCCGGAACATTGACTTCACTTCTGCCATGTCTGAATTCTTGGACACAGTTTTTCCTTCAATGAGAAATTATTCAAGAATGAATTCTCAGAGCGTATCATTGTTTAAGACATTTCTATGGTAGTTCAAGAACTAAAATGTTACTGTTACATAGTTTACCCAATAATTTTCTGAAAAAGAATTTACTTCTCTTTAGTGAAACAAGTTGAAGTAATTAATATTAAACATCTGGGTTTTGTCAGTTTTCTTTAATCAGTGGTGGTAATTGGAAGGGTGGGAGTTGTAAGGTTTTGCTCTCCTAGTGAAAAATTGGGCTGGAGTGATAGCACAGTGGGTAGGGTGTTTGCCTTGCACTCAGCCAACCCAGGTTTGATTCCTCCGTCCCTCTCGGAGCCCGGCAAGCTACCGAGAGTATCTTGCCTGCATGGCAGAGCCTGGCAAGCTACCCATGACGTATTCAATATGCCAAAACAGTAACAACAAGTCTCACAATTTGTTGTGAGATGTTACTGGTGCCCACTCAAGCAAATCAATGAACAACGGGAGGACAGTGCTACAGTGCAGTACTACAGTGAAAAACTGGTAGGACTTTGGTTTTTAAAGAGTTTTAACAGCAGGTAAAAAGTAAACATTTGATGTATAACTATTTTGATTAATAGTATTTACATGAATGGTAGGTGAGGTAAAAAAACTATTATTTTGGATAAGGCATGTAGTTAGGGAAAGGAGATAGTAAATATACCTAACAGTCCCCATAATTAAATATCTGGTTTTTACTTTAACCCCCTTGCAATAATTAAAACATCCTAAGAAGGTGAATTAACTCGAGCATAAGTATGCACTTTATTTTTTATTTATTTATTTTTTGCTTTTTGGGTCACACCTGGTGATGCACAGGAGTTACTCCTGGTTCATGCACTCAGGAATTATTCCTGGCAGTGCTTGGAGGACCATATGGGATGCTGGGAATCGAACCTAGGTCGGCTGCATGCAAGGCAAATGCCCTACCTGCTGTGCTATTGCTCCAGCCCCAAGTGTGCACTTTAATTTATCTCTAATATGAGATAGTAAAGTGCCAGTGAATACATTAGTATTTCATTATGGATATCCTAGCATATATTCTGTCTGTTGACATTTGTTCTCAGTGGTATATCCCTGAATACTGCTGTGCTGTATATATATATATCCAAACTGTTCTGGACTGTAGTTTGTGGAATGCCCCTTTCCAGATGCTTCTGTAGACAGTTCCACCCGCTTCGTGATATTTCACCATACTGCTGCAATCTTAACAGGTCTTTTACATCACCACCACAGATTTATTATTTATAAAGTGGGAATGCTGGCTCTGTGCCTGTCTTCACAACCCACTCACCATAGTCAAGTGAACTGCTTCTAGTTTTATTCATTCTATGACTGACAGTCCTAGTAAAAGCTTCCTACTCTCAACTAAGCTTCTTCCCCTCCCATTAAAATGCCTAATCATGGGGCCAGACAGAGTACAGAGGTACATTGGTTTATCTCTAGCAACACATGTCCTCCAAGCACTGCCAGCAGTGATTATTGACACAGAGCTGTAAGTAAGCACTAAGCATGGTGGTGTGTCCCACACCAAACCACAAACTCCTAACCTATTCTGAAACATTCAACTAAGTTCTAACTGCTTTGCTCTCAGTTTTATCTCTACACTGGAGCTGTGGAGGGGAACTCTGGTTAGATCCCCACTTGGATCCCTCTGGTTAGATCATCAGGTGTAGCTCTGGTGAACCCTGAGCACTACCAGGGTGGCTTTGGTGGTTCCTGCCCACTATAGGACCCCAACATTACTACATCCTTGGGCACTTGCATTCGATCTTAGGCTCCATCACTAAGAATCACCAGTGCCCCCGGATACCTGAGCTCTGGATAGGAGCCTCCTCACCCATTTCATTCCCTGAGGGTTGAAAACAAAGTAGGAAACGGGTCAGAATACATAGTGGTCATCTTGAATCTGAGATACAATACACACTTAGAATTGAATTTCTCATTCTGTGATCATCTTTTTTTTTTTTTGCTATCTTTCTTTTCCTCTAGAGGTTATGTTGAAGGCATCAAAGAACTCAAAGAAGAACATCAAAGAACTCTAGTTAGTGTGAATATACATATAACAAAAAGCACTCAGCCTCTCCATTAAAATCATTGATTAAAATATTCATTAGGCACTTTGTGCAAATTTGACATGCTACTGAAAGGGAGGAGAGACATATACTGATAAATGTGAAGGACATTCATAGCTGGTAAGGTTGAAGAACCTAGTTGAAGAACATCAAAGAACTCTAGTTAGTGTGAATATACATATAACAAAAAGCACTCAGCCTCTCCATTAAAATCATTGATTAAAATATTCATTAGGCACTTTGTGCAAATCTGACATGCTACTGAAAGGGAGGAGAGACATATACTGATAAATGTGAAGGACATTCATAGCTGGTAAGGTTTCATGTTACCAAAATTCTCTTCCTCCAAAACACTAAAACGATAGGTGAGTATACTTTCTCTTGCTTATACTGTCACTTCCAAAATCTGGTCTGAGGAAAACAATGAAACTTGATGCTCCACCAAACCTTAGTTTTGTGACTAAGCTGTTATTGTTTCTGGAAAGGGTGTGGGGCCACAGTCTTATAGTGAGTGGGTTGGTCCTGGTGTGGGGAAGATCAGTGCTGTTCTTGCCTAGGTAGACTGTTTTCCTAAGGTTGATTACTTTTCCTGGGTTCCCCTCTAGGCTTTGACAGGACAGAAACAGGAAGGGAAGGGCTAAAATAAGCAAGATGATGGTTGGATGTCCTCTATTGTCAAGACTACCATTGTCTTGATAATCTGCCTAGGGAGTCCAGATTAGAAAGAAGCATTTATTTCCTTTTCCAGGTGGCCAGCTAATAGTCAAACATAGGTGTTCTGTCTGGTGTAATATGCCCTAAGGAGTTCTGGCTGCTCCTACAGGTACTTTTATTATTGGTAAGAGGTGTGTAATACTAGGAACAAATAGTCCAAAGAAGAAATGTACCAGCTAGACTGCAATTCATGTGTGTCACACCAAGTGCGATATCTTTCACTTTAATAATATATAGTACTTTCCATGTGCCAGGCACTATATAATTGAGCTAAAGTTGGGGGGAATGACCATTAATAAAAGGGGACCTTACATTTCTAGAATAAAGAGAGATAATCAATAGAATATGAATCAATAGTAAGTTCTATAGAAAATAAAATAGCTTTAAGGATTATAGGAGTCCTGTGGTGGCAGGTATTTCAATTTAAAGGGGGAAATTACTGTGGCTTCATTAAGAGATAAAAATTAATGTTCTTTTGGTATGCATGTTCTTTTGAAATTGCAAAATAAAGTTCAAAACCTGATACAATATATGAGAATAGGTATAGGAGAAGGGGTAGTTTCCACTGGGGAGGTGGATTTGCTGGTAATTATTTTGTTGAATTATCTGTCATATCTAAAAACTAGATATATTTTCCTTGATTCCAGTAAAGAAAAAAAATCACAAATATAATAAAGATTTTCATTAAAGCAATGCACTGAATAACAAAATGTTCAGCAATAGAAATGTTAAGTTATGGAACAGCTGTACAATGGAATAGTATGACAGACTTTAAAATGATAAAACTGTCAGCATATTTTAAGATAACATTAACTTGCCAAAGTATAATTCTTACATTAGTAGAAACAAAACTTTTTCTTTAGGGCATGTGGTGATGGGATGGAACTTAGGGCTTCACACATGCTGAGCCACATGCCTGGCCCATGAACCCAGACTTTGAATGCTCAGAAGAATGAGTTATCAGTTAAATCATTTTTTGGAAGCCCTTGGCCTGGGTAATTGGAAAATTATCTGTTTCACTTTTCTTCCTGGTTTGTTTAGTCTGCAATTTCTCCTAGAGATAGCTGTTTTTATGGATAATGAATTACAAAGTCACAGAGTAAGCAAAACTGTAATAGTCATTTGAACTAGGTGTTTAAAATTAATGCATAAGAAGTTAGAGGTCAACCAAATTTTTGTCATAAAATATGACAGCTGAAAGACACGGAAGTCTAGGAAGGATGACTAATCCACGAATTTGTAATGTAAGTTTATCATGTAACCTTAGAACTAAGTTAAATTAGATTTACTTTGATAACCAAACTCTGGAAGTGGAATAAAACAAGAGCAAGAAGTATCCTTCTGAACTTTGAGACTGTGGTATCAGGTTCTCAAATTTTTCTCTCTGTTTTTGGGTACCACCCAAAAGGTGTTTGGGGTTGTTCTGGGCAGTTCTTGAGAGACCATACGGTATTGGAGATAGGATCTGCCTGCTTTGCAGCATGTGCTCCAGTCAGTATGCTCTGAACCCCAGAGATCCTCAATTTTAATGCTTGTTGCCCACTAAAGAGATTAAAAAAAAGTGTAGTTTCAGTTCAAGATACAATTTCTAGCATATTTAAAAAGACCAGCAAACATTATCTCCAATATAATCTATATACCATAGCAATCTAGTAGCCACAATTATGTTATTCTTAAATCAGAAATTTTACATCATTTTTCTCGCTGAATTCTTTTTACACTAAATTTTATTCTACTGTGTATATTAACATGGTTTAACATTTTCATGATCATCTTGACATTCTACAACAAACGTGTTACGAATTTTAATGCACAAGGATGTGGCTCAAGAAGTAGAATGCCTCACATGTGTGAGGCTGTGGGTTGATGTGTGGCACTGCAGCATGCCCCGTCCCCCAGCACTACAAGTATATAACTCCTTCAAAGCAAAAGTACAACTTAAGGTATCTGGGATCAGAGGTGTCTATCCAAACAGACTTTCTACAAGCATACTAAATGTCTGTAATGTGCCAAACCACAACTAAATGAGGAGGGTGACAATGGATAAGACCCAAATACTTCCCTTTGGAGAATCTGGGAGAGATGAGATGGGATATAGTTACAATTACTTTAATAAAAAACATGTCTATTATGTATGCTTTGAGAAACCAAAAACATGAATAATTTGGGTCAGACTAGCTGGCATTATA